AAAAAAAAAAAAAAAAAAGCCTTGGGCGAGTCGACCCATAAAGTCATTTGGAATCAAAATCAAACGTAATTAAAAAAAAAAGCTTGGCCGAATCGATCATATATTTAGGATGGCCGCACTTCAACATTTCAAAACAAAATTAAATCGCTTAGAACGCATAGTTAGAACCTAAAATATTAAAGCAAACGTAAAAAATAAAAAAATAAAAATCGGTTCAGTGGCTTAGCCAAGTCGAAACTAAAAGTCTATCGGCTCGGTTTGGAAATGCAAAAAAAAAAGCCAAGCCGACGGCTTAGGAATAGTGCTTATGAATAATGCCACCACCCTTCACTCTTTTATTTAAGTAGGATATAATCTACTACATTCTATCTTCAATTTCATTTATTCAATATTAATATCACACTACAAATTTACAATCTTATACTTCCTTTCCATACTCTTTATTTACTTACTATACTATACGAATTACAATACATATTCTATACATAATATTTTATACACCAATTCATTACGATTTACATTTGTATAATTATCAAATTTCTGCATATTCGTTCGTCATTTCATCTTCATTTAAGGAATCAAGTTCTTATATTATCAATTCATCACGAATGGATTCATAATCATTTGTTGAGGACTTGTTGGGTATTGTAAGTGAATCACCTATGACGCTGCAAAGTCAATTTTACAATGAATTTGCCGGTCTCAACGAAGTACCAATTTTCGAAAATATTCCAGATTTGGATGCTTACGAAAGTAGTAATCCAATTGATTTGGATGACGTTGATATTCCCAAACCGGAATAGGAGGAATTAGATATTGCCGATACAAGATCGAAGCCAAAGACAAAAAAATAGGCAAAATGTTATGATCGCTTTAAATTGATTCCAACAGGTTGTATAGTCTACAGAGTCCCAGAGTCTAAAGCAATATATAAACATTGCCAAACACGATTGACATGACAAAAGGGCATTAGTGAACCGCTTTTGGTATACAGTACTGGATTCTTGGTAGGGTACGATGACATTGTTATAGATTTTCCATACGCGAATTTTGTGATCTTGGTGTGTAGGGAACAATTTATCTCCCAAGACTCCTATAGACTTGACAGTATTATAGCCTTGTGCAACTATGTTATAATGTACCAAATTGTGGTTGCTAGAGGAAGAGGGATCTCGATTCCATAGTTGAATTCGCTGTCGGATGATCCTTTGTAGAGGTGTTTTCCGACGAGAGCTAGGAAGAAAATGGAGGAATGCCCTTTGAAGGTGGCT